CATTCAAATTATTCGCTAGCCCCAGAAGAATAAATATTACAGCTTTTATATTATCTATGAAATTTGAGCATTCACATTGTTTATCTGTTTGATTTCTTCGCTGTGTTATGTTGTTTGTTTTCATTCCCATGGGAAGAACTTACACTATCCAGAGGAATGAACATGAACCACCCTCCCATCACATTGTTATGCTCTAGCAATCTAACAGATACTCCAGAAACAAATCCTTCTGAAGCCACAAAATCAATGCCGTGAACAACTGAAGAGGATTTTAATTGTGGAAGAAGAAGGCATTTAGCACATTCTGCTACCAAATGTTAGTATTTTAAAACTCTCATGCTTCATTTACTCTAAACCGCTTTCTACTTTGTCCTAAATATTTCTCAATTTAAAAAATGTAATTCATTTAATGGCTGGGATACTTTTCATTTTTTTATTTTTTTTAATTTTTAAAACATTAATACTGCTCATATTTGCAATTTCAATATTAACACAGATAAATTGAATACCTTCTTTTTTATACTAAATTAACAGATCAAGAGACAATCTGTATTTCATTAAATTCATCTCATATATATTACATGCACACAGTCAAACAGATTGATTACAGCTGAGAATCATAAAGTTGGCCTGGCCTAGCCGATATGAGAGGCATAAGTCATAGGATTTTAAGAATCCAGTCTATGGCTTCTGGGGCACTATGAGCTTTTTGTTTAGTGACTTTACAGATATAAAATTTTAAAAATTCTAAAACTTAGAAAATCCCAAATATCAAGTAAATAGGATATTAAAAATACACCAATAATGAGACAAAGAAATCAATGCAGTTGTTAAACCTACCAACAATATTAAATTCAAAGACTCATCAGTTGTACTACGGTTTCAATGCACAAAAGGTAATTAAGGGAATGCTCAGCTCCCTTAGCTATCAGAAAAATGCAAATCAAAACAACTCTGAGATACCATCTTACATCTGTCTGAATGACTAAGATCAAAAACACCAAAGATAGCTTATGCTGGAGAGGATATGGAGTAAGGGGAACACTCATCCATTGCTGGAGGGAATGCAAACTTGTGCAACCACTTTAGAAATCAGTGTGGCAGTTTCTCAGAAAATTGGGAGTCAACCTACCTCAGGATCCAGCAATATCACTCTTGGGAATATACCCAAAAGATGCCCCATCATACTACAAAAGTATTTGTTCAACTATGTTCATGGAAGCATTATTTATAATAGCCACAACCTGGAAAAAAAACAGATTTCCTTCAACTGAAGAATGGATAAAGAGAGTGTGTCCCATTTGCACATTAGAGTACTACTCAGTGGTAGAAAAACACTTGACATCTTGAAGTTTGCATGGAAATGGATGGAATTAGAAAATACCATCCTGAGTGAGGCAATCCAGACCCAAAAAAATGAATATGGTATGTTCTCATAAGTGGATACTAGTTATGAACAAAGTAAATTGAGCCTATAGTTCATGATCTTAGAGAAGCTATAATAATAAGGTGAAGCTAAAGAAAAACATATATAGATCCACCTGGAAATTGGAAACAGACAAGATCGCCTGACAAAATTGGGAGCATGTGGATGAGGGGATAGGAGGAAGGAGAAAAAGTGAAGAGAAGGAGAGAAGGGGAAGATTGGAGCAGCACTTGAAGGAATAGGATAATCAAGATGGAGGAAGGACAGATATGAGAGAAAGGAAAGAGATATCTTAATTGAGGAACCCATTATACTGTTAGCAAGAAACCTGACTCTAGGAAACTTCTCAGGAATCCACAAGGATGACCCCAGCTAAGGCCCTAAGCAATAGAGCAGAGGGTGCCAGAACTGGTCTTGCCCTGTCACCAGACTGACGATTATCTTAAATATCACCATAGAACCTTCATCCAACAGCAGATAGAAACAGAGGCAGAGATCCACATTGGAGCACTGGACTGAGCTCCCAAGGTCCAGTTGAAGAGTAGAAGGAATGAGAATATGAGCAAAGAATTCAAGACCATCCACTGAAACAGCTTACCTGAGCTAATGGGAGCTCACCTCCTCCAGCTGGACTGGGAAGGGAAAACCATAGGACCAAAGTAGTACCTCTCAATGTGTTTGACAGTTGTTTGGCTTGGGCAGACCGAGGGGCCACTGGCAGTGGCATTGGGATTTATTTCTACTGCTTGTACTGGCTTTTGGGGACCCTATTCTCTTTGAATGTATACAATGCTTAGCCTAAATGTAGTAGGGAGGGCCTTGGACCTTCCACAAACCAAAGTGCCTACCCTCTCTTAGGATTAGAGGGGGGTGTTGTAGGAGGAGGGTGTAAGGAACGGGAGTAGGAGAGGGAGTCGGAATTTTGATTGATACTTTAAACAAAATCTAATAAAACAATCTAATACTGTTACTACTCAAAGTGTTCTATAAAATTAATGATCAGAGCCACTTCCAAATTCACTCTGTGATGTTACTATTACTGTGGTAATAAATCTTTGTTCTTCTTAAAAATAAAATCAGGTAAAAACTATAAATCAATTTACCCGAGAAGCATAGATTCCAAACTTCTCATAAAATAATTGAAATTTAACAACATAAATATCTTATTTTTATAAATGAGTATCTTTTTTCCTAATGGATAATCATGCCAGAAAATCATATAGGAAGTAATAGGTATGTTTTATATTAAGAATTGTCTTTAAAATATTGCATGTCACCATTTTAAAGTCCTAATTATATTGATGGATCATATGAATCCTTGCCATGTTATTGATATATTAGCAATTATTTTTGCATTGTTTTTAAATCTTTGAAATTTGCATAACTTAAGTGTTTTGATTCCTATACAACTACAAAAGACTCATATTTTATAAGTTGATCAAATTATGTCAATGCATATGCATACAATACCCTTCTTCCCAAGACTCTTCCATGGGGGTGTATATACTAAGTAGCCTATAATTTCCCCAGTATAGTATAATTCCCCCAGTATAATTTCTGCAGTATAGTAATAATGAGTTGTAAATACTCCTAGAGAATATAAAATTAGAAACATATGGGACTTGTCAGGAAAGATTTGATATTTTTGAAGATGGAGTATTGATTACATATGGTGTAGGAGGTTCAGTACATAGTTTCATTGTAGTTAATCTATGTTAATGTGGCATCCATGAAATGGCATTCATTTAGTCACATCTCTTTTTTTTTAAAGGCAATCTTCACACATTTAGAAATGTTTCTACTAAATGCTAAAACAAGATTAAAACTTTAAAACACAAATATTTAAAGAATTGAATTCTGATACTCTAACTAGTATAACCTGGTCACCACGAGCAGTGACACCCTATAATTTATTGGGGTAAGTTGAGATTATATGGTCCATGGGGTACTAAAATACTATCAGATACTAGACCTAAGAATGATGCCCAAGAACTTATAAGATACAATAGACTAAGAAAATGGTACAACTTCCACACCAGCACCCTATTAAAAATGACCAAAATTATTTCATTAAATAAAAAAATATCTATACAGCAATGAAACAATCAACTAAGGAGATATTTACAGAATGTAAGATACCTTTGCTAGACAAGATATGGCATAGAATTAATGTCATATATATATATATATATACATATATAATCAACAATTAAAGAGAAAATAATTTAAATTACATAAAATATGAACCATCTACTAAAATACACATCTTACAAATGATGATAAGCAGATATGCATTGCACATAGAGTGAAATGTTCTGCCCACGGGACATCAAGGGAAAAATGGATTAAACTACACTTAGATTGTATATTGACCCTGTAAATTTTAGTCATTAGGAAAATAAATAAAAGAACTGGAGTGGTAGTTTAGAAATACAGAAAAATTAAAGTTCCAAAGGATATAACAGCCTTTTCTGTCTTCCTGTGGCCGTGGACTCCTGTAATGGTCATAAACTCACACAGGTACACAGAAATGCAAATAAAGAGAAAATCAAAATAAAGAAAAGAAATACCAAAAATTTATGAAAGCAAGGCAAAAAAAGAGAGGACTATTTTATACTTTTGAAGAATGCTTAAGGGGTTATCCTCTATGGAAAAAAGCATTAAAGATTTGTTTTTCAAACTAAAAATAAGTCATCCATATGGTCAAACTATAGCACTTTAAGGTAATGAACTAATGATTCTATATCAACAGATCACATAGGTACTGGTACATTGACGTTCATTTAAGTGCTTACAAATGAAATATCACTACAGCCTCCTTTAGAGAAAATCTATGTTATTTCTGGGTTCTATACTATATCTATGATGATATGTATTATAACTCATGTATGTAATATACTATTGTTAAAAAGAAATAGAGAGGCCAAGAAGACAGGTGAGGAAGGACTTTAATAGGAGGCAACTACTGAAAGTATATTATGGATTTATATGAAAATACCTTTTATAAAATAGTAGCATACACAAATACAAGTAATACATACCATTTTTTGTGTGTAGGGATGTGAAGAAGAAAAATATATATTCCAAATACAGAGATCGTCAGGACACCTCTAAATCAAATTCTATAATATTTCCTATTCAATTCTACCTACTACTAGATTCAGATAGAGCAGGAGCCAGCGTCTGCAATTGGTTATGCATAATACCTTCAAACATGGTCCCACAGAGGGGCTCAGTTAAATTTCATGGTTCATGAAAGAAAACAAAAAGACACACATGTGGGAAAAGATTTGGCTGGAGAAATTGAGTTTTGAGAGGAATAAGGAATGTTCTTCACATATGTAGAAAAAGTCATAGAACAAATTTAATTAAAATGTTATGTTTTTCATAAAATGTTGACAATATAACAATTTGGTTAGTGCATTTTTTTTTTTGCAAATAATGATATACTAACTTTCAAAAGTAACAAAGAGTGGTCAAAACAGTAATTAACATTCCAAAGTTTAAAAAAAAGATGTAACAGTTTATGTGAGAACTGTGGTTGCATTCAATCACTGTACATAAGTCCATTGAACTATGCTCTAAGCAATAATCTTCTCAGAGCTGCAATCACTTCTTTGTTCCTAAGGCTGTATATCATGGGGTTGAACATGGGGGTCACAATGGTGTAAAAAAGAGAGAGGAGTTTGTCACTTAATGCAGAATGTGATGACTTTGGCATTAAGTAGGTAATAGATGCAGATCCATAAAACAAAAGCACCACCACCAGATGTGAGGAACATGTAGAGAAGGCTTTTGCCCGTCCTTCAGCAGTTGGCAACCTAAGGATGGTTGCAATAATTTTGCTGTATGATGTTAATATTAATAAAAAAGGGATTGTAGCTAGCAAGATAACCACTGCATAGGCGTACAACTCGTTAACAGAAGTATCTCCACAGGCCAGCTTAAGTACAGGAGGTATGTCACAGAAGAAGTGATCTATCAGGTTAGAGTTGCAGAAATGTAGAGAGAATATCTGATAAGTTTGCCCTAGCTGGAAAGGCAATCCACCAAGCCAGGAGCCCACTGCCAGCTGTGTGCATTTTGTCTGGTTCATGACCAAAGGATAGTGCAGAGGGTTGCAGATAGCCACATAGCGGTCATAGGACATCACAGCCAGGAGTATACTGTCTGTAGCTGCCAGCATTAGGAAGAAACACATTTGTGTGGCACAGGCCAGAAGAGAAATGCTTCTGTCCTGGGTCCAAATGCTATACAGAACCCTAGGGAGAGTGACTGAAACATAACAGATTTCCAGAAAAGAGAAATTTGACAGGAAAAAATACATGGGATTGTGTAGTGCAGGATCGATTCTGGTTATCACAATTATGAAGCTATTTCCAAATAGGATAATTACATACATTATAGAGAACATTCCAAATAGAAGACCCTGGAGGTTGGGAAGGTCAGAGAATCCGAGGAGGAGAAACTGTGTCACTGTGGAAGTATTGTCCTCTTCCATGATATTTGTGTGTATCAACTGTGAGGATGCTCCAACAAGAAGTACACTTTCTTATCCTCAGCTTTGCGTCTTATTTGCGTATTTTAAGTTCTGCTTAGAAATATGTATATTTATACCTTATTAAATCAGGAGACATATACTCTTTGTTATTAAATATACCTTTGAGGTAATGGTGCTGCACTCTCAGCTCTCAACTAGATATATAATACATATTCTTTTAAATGGCACAATAACTCATAATATTTTAAATGTTTATCTAAATATGCAATGTGACAAATTCTGAATTATTTCTAGTTGTCTCTTTAATATTCTTCGAAAATTGCTTTTTATTATTGATAAAAATCAATTTCATTTCAATTAAATATCCTTTATACACTTAAAATTATAAACAGAAAACTTTATTCATCTTTCCATGTGGTTTTCTAAATCCCCTTTATCCCAATAAGCCAAAATATATACAATTTCATTGCAAAGTACATAATAAATTGTACACATGATTTGATGAGATTCTCTTTTACATATAAAATTTTGGAAGTGTGGTGTGAAATCTATGCAATCATAATTGATATTTTCTACATTGTTGAAATTATTGAATACTAAATGTAAATCAAAAGACACAGTAATCATAGATTTTTAAATGGTACTCACTCTGCAGTTTCATTTGTTTGTGATGCAACCATCTCGAACATAACTTCATGAATGCTAGGTGACCTCTCTCCCCCAAGGTATTCCTTCAACTCCGCTAGGCAAGTTATACACACAAATTGCCAATAAACAAAAAAGCTTTCTCAAATCATTTAACATTTCTGTCCTTGTCTTTCTCTCCATCTTATATATGTACAGGTGTGTTATTTGCAATTCTTCAGATTCTCTAGTTCATACTAAGAAAGAAATTTAGTAGAAATTTCAAACTACAGGTATTGGTTTTTATTTAAATCCTTTATATATATATATATTAACTGTTATTGCCTTTGAAGCAATGATTTTCTTTGATGCAGATACTGTGGCATTAATTAAAACTTTTAATATACATTGTATTGTGTTTAAATAATAAAATTGAAATGGCCCTATCCTAGAAATTGAAAATAAAAGTGGAGACTTTTCTGCTATTATTGTGAGGAGCTTATGATTTTTGTCTTTAAGTTATTTATATGATAATATAAAATAATCTAAAAAATTAAATATTATTTAATATATATGTATATAAATGTGTATTATTTTTGAAGAACTTTCCTATCATAAAATTCTATCGAACCAAATAAACGTATGCAATGATTTTTTTTTTTTTGGTTTTTCGAGACAGGGTTTCTCTGTGGCTTTGGAGCCTGTCCTGGAACTAGCTCTGTAGACCAGGCTGGTCTCGAACTCACAGAGATCCACCTGCCTCTGCCTCCCGAGTGCTGGGATTAAAGGCGTGAGCCACCACCGCCCGGCTCGTATGCAATGATTCTATTAATATTTTTAGATTAATTACAAATAGATCTTAACATTCTGTCTTCATGAGATGTTTTGAAATTGTAGCTTTCAAGGTAATATCAGTGATCTTCCTTTAATATTTTCATTCTGTATTGTAGATAGGTATATCTTTTGAATATATTCTCCCTTCATGTCTTATCATAGACACATTTAAGTATATACCTGACAGAAAATGGTAAACTAATACACCTTAGCAATACTGTGTTAATTTGATGACCATGATCCTTACTGTACCAATCTTCCATGTTGAACAATGCATATGATGCTTTCTCGAGTCATATTTCATCAATATGTCATCAATGGACAGAAAAAATAGTGCAAAACCAAGCTGAAATGAAATGGTGTTTGAAACTAAACCAGAAATAAATCATTCAATTTTTCTATTAATTACTCTGTGTAGTTTTATTTAAATGCTGATAGTAAAATATCAAAATAAAAGTACAAAGTTTTATCAGTCAATTGTAGTCTATGATCTTTGGAATTAGGTAAGCTGCAATTCTTACTTTGATTTATTGACATACAAAAGCAAAATGATGAGGAAGTTTCTTTTTCTAAGCTCAAGAGTTTACCTTCATTTGCAACAGAGGCCAAACACTTCTGAAATATATTCTCCTGTCACAACACACTCTTCTACATAACAAGGAATGTTCTCTACCCTGGGGACAACTCCTTTCCTTGCTAATTTCTAATTGTAAATAGCACCCTTCTTTAAAATGTCAGTCATGAATTTAGCAAAACAAGTACCACAAATTAAATTNAATTAAAATCATATATATATATGTATATATATATATATATATATATAGTCATAGTCAGTATTTGTTTCTGTTATTAGGAAACACTACAATTGAAAATATGAGAAATTAGTAATAGTAACTATACTTTTTGTAATGCTGACGATTGAAACTAATGCCTCCTGATGGAAAATACACACTCAGCTACTGAATCACTTCTCAGCAGTTATTTATTAGGGTAACAGACCACTTGATAACAAAAAATGTTTTTGCTGTGATCAACCTGCATATGTGTTCTTAGTGCTGAGGTCTGTTGTTTCTGACACATTCATAAGTGTTTCTGCATTTTATATATGCAAGATATTTTACCATGATTAAAAGTATGTACTCTCTTAGAATACACTGAAATGTACTTTTTCACACCACAAATCTAATAACATTTTGACATCTTCAATATGTCTTTCATTCAAAAATATAGTGCCAAGAATAGACACATTTAATTCTAATTGACAAAAATACACAAAAAATCAAAACTAAATAAATAAATACAGCTGCCCATGTTCCATTATTAACTATTTTAATCAGGAAATAGAATTTTAAGTGACAATAGCTCATCAAAATCTAGTTACAAATTTACAGCAACTGGGAGAAAAAACAAACTTCTGAATTTATTGTCTAGCTGAACTACCATGATGGACAGGTATAAATTTAGATGTCTCAGCCATTTAGACATCTACCTTGTCACTTGATGAATTCTCCATCAATTATTGCCCTTTTTCATTCCCAATTCATAAAGAAAATTGAAAAAAAAACCTCAAAGACCCCATATAAAGAGACATAAATTCATATTCAGAAAATAAATGGAAGAAAATGTTAAATGACTGAGAATCTGTCATTAATTTACAGATGTTCAGATTAAGATTAGAAAAATTATGATTAAGCACTATTAAATTTCATCTTGTCTACATGTTGACATCTTTCCCAATGATGGAAGACTATGTATTAATGGGCTAAATTTGACTTATATAGTTAGCATTAATGTGTTTAAATCCTAGTTATTATTTACATACTAGTATAGCTGAAAGTCGCTTTGTTTTTCCTACATTTATGCCACTATATAATTGGAATTAAGCAAATTTGACATGTCTTTTTTCCATTTATTATCTGAGTCAATCTTTGAATGCATCCTTTTTTTTAATTTGCACCTTTTGTTGAAAGGTAAACTGTAATTCGGACATTGATATGATAATTTGAGCTGAATCTGGCCTGCCAGATTCACTCCTGAGTTCTAATTTCAAGAGTTCTAGAAAACACTATGCAAACTTTCAAAGGATAGAAACGATTAAGCAGTCCTAACCAGCAGCAACATCTATAACCCATAACAATTGCCAGTATGTCAAGATATGCACAAAGGTAAATTAAGTGGTATTCATGGGTTAATGGGATACAATTGCCGATTAATCAGACTTGGGAGCTCTTTAATAGGAGAAGACTCCTGTCTACTCCAGGAAACATGCCCAGCTTAGAAAAGAATCTACTATTACAACTATTCAGATTAGCATAATTTTTTACTACATTCAAAATCTTATCTTATGCCCATTAGTAAGTATAGCTACCAATCCTCATCAAAGGAGACTCTCTTTACTGTAAATGGAAACTACAGAAAACCGCAGAGATCAAAAATGGTGGAGATCTCAGACCCAAGAGCTAATATATCCTACATCTATGACTCTAAGAACTTCATGGAAAATGGTCCTAAGGGATTGTTAGAACAAGAATTATGAATAAGGTTGCTGTAAGACAATCTCTTCTAGAAATGGTTGCATAAACAAGAGCATACTAAAGGTAAAAGCAATGGGCATGCTAACATGGGAAGAGGGAAATTTCCTAGGGTTCTAGTCTTAGGCAAAAAGAAAAAGAAGAACACAGGTAAATATTTTCTACTGGTAGAAGAAAAACTAGGCTTTCCTAGTGATTAGTCCCTTTTTGGTTGTTTTATTGTAGTGTGGTCAGCTTTACAATCACATATATACAAATAAATAAAAACACAGCATGCTATATTTGTATATAATTGTGCATTTGTACACATTTGTATTTGCTTGTAGGCATGAACATGTGAATGTGTGTCTGTAAAACAATAATAATAAAAGAAAAAGTGCCAATCAATATAGTAAGAGTGAAGTGCTCCATAGAGATTCAAAGGAGAGTAATGAGATAAAACAGAAATGAGAAAAGGAAGGGCAGAAATGGATTTAATATTATTTCAATTATATTATTTAAATGAATGCAATTGATAAATAAAATTTTAGGGCAGATAGGCACAATGGGGAAACTTGAGATATTGCTGGTATGTGTATAAACCTCAGTTTGAAAGATATTCCAAAGCTAAAATGAGAACTGTTATGTGACCCAGATAAACTGCTATTCATCCAAACCAATTGACGTCAACATGTCATAGAGATGTTTTCAAATCAATTTCATCTATAATCATTTTCATATTAAGGATTGCACCTTTAAAGTTAATGAGACATATTCAATGCAATTGGAAGTTAGCTTCCATTTATGTTTTAAAGGTTGTTGTTAAGATTCCAAGCTTAATACCTAGAGAAAAATTGAGTATAATAAGATGTGGTATACTTGCAAATAGTCAGGATTTTATTATGATACAGGAATATTAAAAAAATTCGTTTTCCATATATAAAACTCCATATTAAATGGTAAAATACTAAGATATCTCATCTTTCGTCACCATAATCAAAATATCCTAAGTGAATAAATATGTTTTCATATTTATGTATAATATAGATTAAAAGATACTATGGTTAACAAATACGTATAGGCAGTATGTAGACGCTCTTGTTTTGTTTGTTGGCTTTCAATGCTACAATAAAAAATGAAAGCAATAGCAAAATCAAAAACCAAAGATGACTGCTATGAAAACCTAGCACACTACCACTGAGCAATTTTACACATAATATTTACATAATCTCTTGTTTAAAAAATCTTTAAGAACTTTAACTACAACTATTTATGAAAATATGATGTGAACAACAATTTGAATATAATAGAAATTAATAGATGAGGATGTATTTAAAAGTATATTTTATGACATAAACCATTTTATTATAGTTCAAAAGATTTTTAAAAGTATATTTATTGATATTATCATTGTTCAAGTCTCACTTAAGCCACCATTTCTGAAATCCTTGTCTTCTGACTTTTATAACCCCCTTCTACTCTTTTGCCACGTTTCCTGAGTTTATATGCAGGAGATGAAATGAGGGTGTATAATTTGGTGCTGGACTTTTCATAACCCATTGTTTTTGATGTTATATTCAGTTGTGGTTTTCTTTAATAGCCTGGAGTGGAAGGCTCTTCTGTCTACATGTTTCTGTGTGAATATTTTAGGGCTAAGTGGTGGAGAACCAACAAGCATCCTCCTCCAACAATAGCCTTCATTTGCAATAAAGAAATGATACTTGATGAGGTGATCTGGCCTGAAATCATATATACACAAACAACACAGAAAGACTGAAAAAGTTGTCTTAATGTATTTGTGTATATCTATATAACTATCTATCATCTATCTGTCATTTGTATCAACTTATACATCTTCTATCATTTAAATATCTATATATCTATAATCAGCTATCTAATCACATACCAATAATAATCAAAGAAAAAGAGTTCATCATTTTGGAAAGGAGATGGTATAGGTAACATGGAATGGACAGGAGGAAGGAGCATGGGAGAGTTTAGAAAGAGGGGCAGGAAATGGAAAATTATGTAATTATATTTTAATTAAATACATTAAATTTAAAAAGTCGATCACATTATAACATAAACACAGTGGACATGTAAAAGGAATCTAAACATTTGGAATATTTCTGATAAGTGTTGAAGAATCTATTCATTCACTTGTATATAACTCTGTGGCTCTTCATTTTAAGTAAAACTCTTCTCAGAGCTGCAATCACATCCTTGTTCCTAAGGCTGTATATCAGGGGGTTGAACATGGGAGTCACAGTTGTGTAGACCAGAGAGAGTAGCTCATCAGTTCCTGCAGAATTAGTGGATTTTGGCCTAAAGTAGTTAATGGTTCCTGATCCAAAAAACAAAACAACTACCACCAAATGGGAAGAACACGTAGAGAAGGCTTTTGCCTGTCCTGTGGCTGTTGGCAACTTCACAATGCTGGCAATGATTTTGCTATAAGATCCAAGTATCATCATAAAAGGGAAGGCAACAAACATCATAAACACTACATAGACAGCCATCTTACACATTGAAGTATCCCCACAGGCCAGCTTGAGAACCGGTGGAATATCACAAAAGAAGTGGTCTATTCTATTAGAATGACAGAAACGCTGAGAGAATATTCCACAAGTTTGTCCTATCTGGATTGGGATGCCACCAAGCCAAGAGCCAATGGCCATCTGAGTACACTTTGTTGGGTTCATGACCAGTGGATAGTGCAGAGGGTTGCAGATGGCCACATAGCGGTCATAGGACATCACAGCCAGTAGGAAACACTCAGTAGCTGCCAGAATTGTGAAGAAAAACATTTGGACGGCACAAGCCAGAAGACAAATTTTTCTATCTTGAGTCCAAAGATTGTACAGAATCCTAGGAAGAGTGACAGATACATAACAGATTTCCAGAAATGAAAAATTGGCCAGAAAAAAATACATGGGTTTTTGTAGTGCAGGATCAATTCTGGCTATGACAATTATTAAGCTATTTCCTATTATGATAATCATGTACATTATGGAAAACATCCAAAACAGAAATCCTTGTAGGTTGGGAAGCTCAGAAAATCCCAGAAAGAGAAACTGTGTCACTGTAGTGGAATTATCCTCTGGCTTGTTCCCTGTATATTCCATCTGTGGGGATAATTCAAGCAAAAGTGAAATGATTTTCTCGTGATTGTCTACTTTTTTTTTTTTTTTTTTTGAGACAGGATTTCTCTGTGTTGCTTCAGAGCCTGTCTTAAAATAGCTCTTCTAGACCAGGCTGGCCTCGAATTCAGAGTATTTCTGTACACTGAAAATAGCATAATACTCAAACTCCTAAATGTGCTCATTAGGATTTTTCTTTTCCTTTTGAATTTCCTGACTAGATATCAGTGTATGTTCTAGTTAATAATAATAAGGTATGCCATTATTACTCAGTAGCAGAACTCCAAATTGATCCTCCTTTATGCAACAATTCTATTCCTTTAGTTTATATTTTTTCTTCTTGCCTACTATTTTATTTTTGTATGTGTAATTATCACACTTAATGTTTTTGCAGTTTAATAAAGATTCACTTTGCTATTTTAAATTATTGTTTTGCACAAGTTTTATCATGTTTTTTTTGTTTTGCCCATACTCTCCAGATCCTTTCCACATCCCTATTCTCCAACTCTATGTTCTTTGTTCTTTCTCTCTGTTACTCTTTCTCTCCAAACAATGAAAATCAAACCAAACAAACAAAAAAGACAATATTTTTCCAGCAAAACAAAAAACCATCAAAACTAAAACTAATAAAAAAAGTTTATGCTGTCTCTTCCAAGTCCTCCTGAGCAAGATGTGCTGTTTGTATACCCAGAGACACTTTACTAGAGAACACATGTTTTCCATTTCCCAGCAGGTATCAATTTCAAATAGTTTTTAGGTTAGGAGTGGGAATTCATGCTCTCTTCTGCTTCTAAGTGCTGGGATTTTATCTTGTGTGAAACTCAGCTGCTCTAAATATTCTTTAAAGATTTTTAAAAGAATTTATGCAAGAATATATTTATTATCTAAAAATGATTTTCTCAAACATTCTTAACTTCTTTATTCTGGCACAAAACCTTTCATTGTTAAATAGTTATTAACAAATTACCATGCATAGTGAGGTGCTACTAATATGTAATGCTATGCTTATCTTTAATTTTAAAGTCCATTAAAATTGACATTCAACACTTTAATTCAGATTTTAAGAAAATTTGAGGTGGATAATATAATTTTCAGGACTATCTTCTTGTATAGATTAATTCAGGAGGCAGAAAAATTGTCACTGACATTGATGGCCAAAGGGAGAGCTAAGAAGGGTGTGCACTTTTATACTCTGAAAGTAGAGGTGTTGCAGAAAGGTTATCTACTGCACTTTTCTTTGAGCTTTGAAATCTTCACTATTGTCCTTAATATTTTGTTCTCCTTTGTTTCATTCTGTCTTCTGCATTATATTAGTCCAAGAGTTCACTTACACACTTATTATTAAGTTCTTATTTATCATAATCATCTCATTTTTGTCACCAGGCAAATATTTTAATTTCATCTGGTATCATGTATACATGATATTCCATATTTTTATATATATTCCATAATTTATATTCAGTCATGTATTCAGTAGATGAGTTCATTGGAATAGCTCTTATTTCATCTACTCTTACAGAAATAGCTTACAACATACCTTTTAAGGATTCATTGAGTAATTTCTAAATGAATCATTATTAACTCAAATAGAAGGCAGACCACCAGTTATATTTAAAGACTTACGTGTGTGTGGTTTTCTAAGATGTCAATTCTAAAGCATATGTATAAGCTAGAAAGCTTGTGTTAAATATGAAAAACTAACCTAATAATTTTCTGAGTATAGGAATGTAAAATTATAATTTATTTAATATTCTACATTTTCATATTGAATATTAACTAAAAGCAATTATTAAAAGATGAGAATGAATTTACTGAAAATTTAAGGAACAGAAACAAGTAGGAAGTACTCACATCTTGAGATTGTGACTTACAGTCACAAATGTACAACACAGAAGTTTCCATTTTTCTACACTCAATAATAAAATATAATAATATATAATAAATAATAAAATTCAACCACCTAATTGAACATATACCTGATTGTAGAATACAATGTTAAAAAATTTCATCCATTTCGTTAAGGACTAGAAAGTATTGTGTTTTCTGAGTTTGTTCAGACAAACATTTTCCTCAAAAACTGCTTCCATCAGACAATGCCACATATAAAATATCACCTTGTTCTTCCCACAATGTGCCCCTTCTTATAGTTTTCGCCTCTCATTACTCTTTAAGTAATAGAACACATCTCTACGTTGGACTCAACAAAGTTGTGAAGATATTCAAAAGAAAAAAAATAGCCGGATGAACAGACCCACTTCCTCGACATCTCTAGAATTTTATTTCTTCCTTTATTAAATTTCTCTGATATTTTGCTTGGTTTTAGGTGAGGAAGTCTCACTTTTACACCTTAAAAGAACAAGTAATTTTGCTCACCTTTATGAGTTTTAACATCTAAAACTACAAAAAAAGAAAAAGTTAATGCAATTGTATGATTCAAGATGTTCTTAAATTCTCATATTTTTGTTTGTTGTTCTGCTCTAATGCAGGGATTCATGCCTGTCAAACAACACTTTAACCTGACCTATTTCCTTAGTATAAACGTTGCATAAATGTCTTCAAATGGATCGTAACATGTCTGCTACTATGTTTATAACAACTTGAAAATATTTTTGGATACCATTAGAAGTGAGAAATTACAGTAGGAAGGAGAAAATCAGTAGGCATCTCAGGTAGGTGTGGGCATATTGGTTTCATGCACCTTACCTTAATTTAACTTGCATCTTTTTCGAAACACTGATTTCTGTTAATGTACCTATTGCTGTGATATTAACAGGAACACTTAAAATCAATTAGAGTACACCTAGCACTTTTAATTTTATGAAAAAATGTTTGAATAAAATTGAAGATGGGAAATAAAAACGTTCAGCTCTTTAAAGCCCAAAGGAAATATGTTAATTTTTCTAGATTAATTTATCATGAACAGTTAGGAACACTTTGGGTAAGAGTAGGTTACTAAGAAATTTCAATCATATTCATCAACATTTTGATCATCTGCTATGCGGTTGGAACTCCAGATTTAATACAGATACATTTAAACATATCTGTCCAAAAATAAAATGGTGTGATACATATTAGCACATAAGATAACAATATCAATGATAACAATTTTCCTCATCCTCCTTTTACAAAATGTATTTTCATTTATGTAATTAATGTCAAATATTAAACAGCAAAAAGTCCATCTGAAGTAATGATAAGTCCTTGATCATTTCATTACTTCGTGTGATTCTACTAGAATGTTGATATTAAAAAAAAATAAAAGCACAAATAAATTTGACATTTGTCAAAAGTAGTTCAAGAGTATCATTTTGGACTTAACCATATAGCATTCTTACATTTATTGATTGATAAATTTCAGAACTGATGAAGAAATTAGTTGAACTGTGTTGAAGGATTTGTTTAGTGTTAGACTGGGCATCTTCTAGTATATATTCTATTGGAGGAAGACACACAAAAATTTCAGTGGGAGATCCTCACTACTCTAGGGAAAAATTCCTTTCCCATGTTACTTTTTAACTGAATGAAACAAAATTCTTGCTACTCAGGGAGTTTAAAGTAATAATGAAATGAATAAATCAGGGGAATGATAGCCTTGGGCTATCGATCCTACATACCCTTAACCTTTATGTTTTGTGTGCGGTTATTAAGAAATGCAAGTTCTGACAGCAGAAACATAATAAAGTGGTAACCATAATAATTAGAATTATTTTCCTCTTTTTGAAGTATTTTGAATAGATCTTAATGACAGATGCATATAACGGAAGAATTTTGCCGCTTATCTAGTTTCTCAGTCTTTTAGCTCCTTCTTAAAACTATGTAGTCACTCAGTTTCATACATATACACAGACACACACAAACACACACACACACACATGCACACACATATATATGTACAAAAGACATATTTAAAGAAGAAAAGTAAATCCTGTGTCCACATTTACTAATTTACTATATTTCGCTTAGACTCAAGAAATATATCTGAGGTGATTCATGCTTTGTCATCACTCACTGGAAAAGTATTTATCTCTGTTCATAGAATTATTCTATTGATTGTTAAAATGGATGGCTACATTTCAGTATTATTTATTTACATAACCATGATTTCCCACAATATGGATTACTTGTATACATACATAAAATATGACTCTGTCTACTATACTTAATAAAAAGCAGAAAAATAACTATATGCACCAAAGTGAGTACAGTTAGGGGTTTGAAATCACTACATGATGAGAAAATTTCCTGGATGTGCAAAGTCATTGTTAAGGTTTTAAACCCATGATATAAATTAATAGGACAAAGCCTAGGACTTTTTATGGTAAGTGATTCATTCGGTAAGTCATATTTAGACAGAACTCTAATCTGTATAAGAATGAGCACTTATTATTTTACTTCAGTCCACTGTCAGTCTGCCGGTGTCATTGCAAATATTGCTGTCACTATTCATGGAAGTAAATGATATTATTTCCAATAAATTATATAGCAAAGTATGACTTTCTATCTTAGACAATTTATCATATCAGAAGTTCTGTTTTGATAACAAATATTATACAGAGTTAGATAAAATGTGACATAGAATGAATTGGAATTTGTGATAAATATTTCATACATAGATCTACAGGCAAATTATTTTCAACATTACAGGTAAAGTTTAATTTTGAATAGCTATCTTTGTAAAATAAATAATTCTTGAAATTTTATTATGGACATGTAAAAGTAAAGTTAACAGCTACAGATCAATAATGTTCTAGTGAATCATTTAGCTAGATAATAACTCAGTCAGAATTTTGTAATAGGATATAAATGGTAACAGAAACTAAACCAAGCAAAATAATACTGCATCTAGGAAAACTACAACCTCATTCATGTATATGTCATCTCTAGCAGGGTAAATTAGCAAGAGAATCACAGAAGTGGTTGATGCATTAGGAACCACACAATGTTGTAATGAGGCTACTTGTTCATTTTTCCGACCAGCCAAACTC